ATGTATATAAAGCTCGCTACACTTTGTTTCACGTCAGTTTCTTCTGAAACGATCATTCGAATTGTCAAAACTTAATTAATTTCATCTATACTAAAAATATGTATCTCTAAAACGAGACGCTTAAGCAGTACGCGACCACGATAAAAAGGCAAAAAGGCAGATTTAAATCTCTTTTTATTATTGAATTGTTAACTAAGCAGATTCCAATCAACCAAGTGAGAAAAAACCCCGGATTTTCAGGCAATTTGCTGCCGATTTATTCAAGAAACATATGTTTTTGCCAAATGTAGTACATTTCTTAAATGCGGTATCTTAAACAGAATCAAAATCTAACATACTTCATTTTCGAAATTATATAATTATATTCAACGTATAGCTAAATCCTGTCTCGATTTCGAAGGTTATAGTGTGAAAGTCGCCTTTTGGTTGGTAAAATTTAATGGCGATATTCATAACCTTTCAAAGGGGGCACATTTTAGGTCACTTGCCTTCATCGTATAGATGTTCCAAATGTGAGTTTCTAGTAAATCAAGCGAGCAAACGTTGTATGTAAGATGTACCCGTTGAAACCTTACAGCCAGATTCCGAGAGCAATATGCAACCGGGCTTATATAATCCGCAGTTTTCCTGATACGGCTTCAGTAATCAATTATAACCTACGATATAACAAAATCAGCAAATTCATGTCGTATTTTCAATCTGTTCTCTTTGGTTTATGTTATTTATCTATATGCATGTCTTAATGTTAATTTCTACAGATATATTCTCTGCACAAATGGATTTCCGTCTGAATGTTTGTCTGTTGTTGATACTTTTCGTGGCATTTTCTGTTGCTGATGACCGTAAATCTTCTCAAGGTAGGCCACTATTTTGAATTATAATTAAAAAAATAAAGCATGCAGTTGTCATAAAAATGCTTGTATTGGGGACAAGGGCATTTGGTGGCCGTATGCATGAAACGTTCACAGTATAATTGTCGAGTTACTCGCCCACAAAAAAATTCTCGATTTCTCTCACGATCACTCACTTCATATTGCTCACATACTTTCTATATCTTCTCATATTTCAGTTTCATGTACAGTTGTGGGCGGTGTGTGTATTCCTTCACGCGTCCCGTGTTCTCCAACACACACTCCATGCCCTCAATTTCTTTGTCCAGGTTTTCAACGTTGCTGTTGGTATGTATTATGACCAATTTTTTAACCGAATGACAATACTATTTTAAAAGAGAAATTAAACTTGACAATTTTCTCGTAACACGGAGAACGATATATACCGCAAAAAACAAAGTTAAAATGAACATATTTATTCGAATTCTGTGCGGGTTGTGGGGTTAAATGATCCTTGTTTGATTTCAATATTAGTTTAACGAAAATCTTTTTTTTAGCCCATTTTGAGGTAGAAAATGAAGCTGGAATAATCTAATTAAGCTGTTATGAAATGTAACTTGTCCAGTTTACATTGATTAATAAAGAGGTTGATAAAAAGGTCCAGTCTATTATTTGAGTGAATAACCGAATTTTTTCAAAAGTTACATATAGCTACTGATTTATGATACTCGATTTTAAAATGCAACAAGACGCCTGTTCTGGCGTTAACTCCGGCGTGGCGCGCACGTGCCAGTCTTCAATATAAAGCTTCCGAACATAAACAATACAGTTCATATTCATTTAGATGCCTTGCGAACCTAAATGTTGTTCGATCGCGAAATTCAGAAGCACATCGTACTTTAAAAAGTTTAGAAGTTCAATTGTTCAAAAATGTAAATAAACGGCATGATACATTCGCTTTGTCTTACACTTTGCTTTTGGAATTCGCGCTTATATAGTTTATATATTAAATCTTCAATCCTGTGCAAACTATGACGAGTCAAAGCGCCCATACACGACCACATCATCTTGTTAAACGGCGAAATAGCAGCGATATTACTAAAATAGGACCAGAATCTACATGTATTAAATATATTCTTACCCCAATTCAATCTAAACTTAATCGAACAGCATGAAAACAACGGTTTATTTGTTCCTCTTGGAAGAATTGCCGTATCATGCGAGCGAAATCGAATCGCGCAACGAAAAATTAGTCAAAGCTGTGCACCACAACTCTTGGGAGACAAGACTGGGACATAGATAAATCCAATAAATCCAACGAAAAATAATATAAAAAAAAACTAAAAAAAAAACAAAAGCAAAACAAAACCGAGGCGAATTTTCAACTCCGTCACTGACGCCGGAGTAATTAACGCAACCATTTGGAGGACATTTCATCAGGGTGCAGAAGCATATACCACGAGCTTTCATTGAAAGACGTAAAACTTAGCATCATGCATACCTTCTGGGAATCTTATATAGTTTTTTCCCTTATTTTTAAACTTTGAAGAAATCTAGATTCTTAAAACGAAGTATTATTATGTAGAATTTTCAATGTTCAACGAAATCAACAAATTTTGTGTTCGAGTAATATGATACTAGAAATACTCAAATACATGCTCGTTTGATAATAGCTATTCTGTGCACCATATTATAGTGTGTGAGGACTTTTATGTTTATCATGCAAATGTTCTTCATCAAAAGAAATGCAAAAATGACTCACCTCTTCATTTTTGGAATCATATATATCAGATGTAACTTATCCCGTGAAAGGAACTCACATATGGTTTCTGTATCTCATACATTAGCATGTATCTCCGACAATAAAATTAATAACTTTTGCATGCTCTGTTAATTCAGTCTGTCGTATAACACAAAAGCGTCTTTGAACTGCGTTGATCATTCTAGAGTGGTATTTTCTTCACAGAGATACATTCGAACATGCAGCTAAAGCCACAACAAAGGCTTTTTTATTATATATATAAGTATATTTTTAATTATGCTTTCGTGTTCGATATCGGAGCGCCGATGAGTAACGCCCTCTCAAATTAACATATACTTCGTTATTTTAAGATTTTGTGTGTACAATCTTGCTAGAATGCCTATATTCGTCCCTAACTTAGCAGTATATATACATAAACCGGCTGTTCGTACGATATTATTAATTGCTAGCTCAATACATGAAATTACTGTATTCCTTAGAACACCTTCTCAAATTCGGTTAAAAAGCATAAAAAAGATCAATAATTTTTAAATAGTTGGTGAACTGAGACAAGTAAAGTATAATAAGAAATGTTAATCAGGAGCTCGAGATACTCGCGTGTAATACATGCATGTGAACGAATATTAGATACTGAAGTTGGCCTCTCTTTTGATCTCCCGTTGTATTAGTCAATAAAAAAAACATTGTCGGAAATGTTAATACTACGTGTACACTATTGAAACAAATAGCTAACTATTGTAGTCCATATGAATTTGGAGATGAAAATAGTGCTTTATATAGACCTAATATACTTTATAGATAATAATCCTGTGTCTATCTGTATACGTATATATAGGATATTATTCCTTATTGAACAATTTTAGCCATTCTGTGCACCATATAGTGTCTGAGGACTTTTATGTTTATCATGCAAATGTTCTCCATCAAAAGAAATGCAAAAATAACTCACATCTTTATTTTTAGAATTATATATATGGTGTAACTTAATTATCCCGGGAAAGGGACTTATGTTAGACAGTGTTCATAATAATGTATTTTATGTTTATAAGTTAAATCTATGGCGTCATTACTATAGAGCATACCTGTTCGGGAGACTTTCGTTAACCCAATGAACTTCGTAGGAACTTCGGAACCTCGCGGAAAAACACATGTTTTATCCGGTTTTGGTGAATTTTCGTTTTGATCTTTGGATAATCTTTTGTAAAAGCTTTTGTACAACATTTTTCTTATTGAAATATATTATTTATTGTTTTTGTACCAATCGTATGGGATAATTTGCGAGTTCTAAGGAACATTTGGCGATCCTGCCAGGACGTTTAGCAACCTTTTTTACCGTATAAATGCGTATCGTGCGAAGCTATTGAAATATGCCGTTGGAAGGTGAAAATGCCGAACAAAGCGACGCGGTTAGTTCGAATGATTCGGGAGCTAAAGATCAGGAAATCGAAGGGAAGATCTTGGAACTAAAACGTAACAAAAGGGCGAAGAAAACAGCGACCACAAAGGTACGACACAATTGTTACGCAAAGCTTTATTGTGTTTAGAGATATGCATATAAAAATATAGCTGTAAAAATAGGAATATCAAGAGCATGACAGGGATTAGTGAGTGATTTTTGCCACAAGACGCCTGAGTAAATATAATTTTCGGCCGTTAGCAAACATTAATCGCCTTTCCCTTTCATGTATGACATATCGTGGGATTAAATAAGTAATAAGGTGAAAATATTTATAATCCTCTCAGAACTAATACCTGGATAAACAGTCTTAAGTCTTCACTAATCTTAATGACCGCATTCTTTAAAAAAGTGTGCGTGCTGTAGGCCATTCAAGTTCTTATGTCAATCAATTGTGTTAAAAATGTTGCTCGGTCAAGCATGTAATAGATTACGTCATCAAAAGTTCAATTCGATAAAATAAGAGTGAAAATAGTTTAAGTTGAAAGATATTGTTCACAGACGTATTGTTTGTAAATTTTACTAGTTGTTGATGATAAACATTTTAAGTTGTGAACATTTTTAAGTATTGATCGATTGAACAGAAGACCAACTCGACTAGTGCGACAACGCCTTAAACAAACAAGATATGAGAGCTGGAACGAGCTTCTAAGACCAACCCACATTTCTAACTTACAACGCTGATTGGTTGGATAAGGATCAGCCCACTCTGGTTGATGACGTCTGCAAGTTTCCCTCAACCGTTACTATAAAAAGGCGTGCACAACACCCCAACCTTCAGTGGACTAGCGGAGTAAAAGGCATGTGAAACGTTAGGAAGCTCAACCTTACAGGACAGACAACCAAAACAAGAACTCAAAACGACGAAGATCAGAAGATCAAGTGAAGAGTAGAGAATCCAGAAAAGAAACTGAACATTATTGAACTTTAGTAAAACCATTGCAAAGATCTCCTACCTCGCGTAAATAGAAAATAAAAGCTACTTAACACAATGTTGAAAAGTTGTGTGCTTCGAAGGGTGAATTGAGCGTAGTCGTAGAAGAGATTGAGAGAGATATCGCAGCACTTTTGGGGTTATTAGAAGTAACATTGGATATAATGGACGAACTAAGCCTTGTTTATATAAAAACAAATGATCGTGATCATAAAGAGGCAATGGCAAAAGAGTCTGACTCTTTCGAAGCCGAGATAAATGAGTGTATTAGCAAGGCTGAGTCGATTATTAAGGACAATTTGAGCAAGAAGTCAAATCGAAGTACTATAAGCGCGACCGGAGGCGTGGAAGCGATTGTGTCTACCCATTCACAACAGGGGCCTGAGTCCAATGTGCCTTCGGGGGCAGAGGAAAGGGTAACAGTCACGAGTCGTCTAAAACCCCTGAAATTACCAGTTTTTGATGGGAATAAGATCATGTTCGAGGATTATTGGGCGTTATTTGAAAGCTTAGTGGACAAAAGTACTGAATCTGCAAATGTCAAGATGGCTAGACTGCGGCAAAGTCTCACAGGGCAACCCCTCGAAGCAATTAGAGGGCTTGGTGTATCCCGGCCAGAATACGAGGAAGCGAAAGAACTTTTGACAACAAAGTATGGTGGTCAACGTAGGCAGCTACAAGCATACATGGACCAACTTGAGAGTATGACCCCGCTCAAAAACAACGATATTAATGGATTTGAGATGTTCTCAGATCTTGTTCGCGTATCGGTTGTGAAGTTGCTGGCAGACGGTAGAGATGGCGAGTTAGGGGAAGGGAACTTGCATAGTTTTGTTGGTTAAGAAGCTCACGGATAGGCAGGTGGAAAATTATAACCGGTGGTTGGGGGAAAATACGAAGACGCGATCTGTGTTGAATCTCCGGGATTGGTTGAAGTGTTATAAGGTTTTTATTTCTTCTTACGCGAGGTAGGAGATCTTTACAAGCTTTTACTAAAGTTTACTAATGTTCTCTTCTTTCTCCGTTCTTCTCTTCTCTTCTGATTATTCGTCCTTTCGGATCTCGTTGTTTTCTGTTCTTGTCTTCTTCGTCAGTTCTGTCGTTGAGCTTCCTAACGTTTCATAAGTTAATCTTTACTCCGTCAGTCCACTGAAGGTTGGGGTGTTGTGCACGCCCTTTTATAATGAGGGTTCAGTGACTCTTGCATACGTCATCAACCATAGTGGGCTGATCCTTATCCAGCCAATCAGCGTTGTACATGTAATCAGTGGGTTGGTCTTAGAAGCTCGCTCCAGCTCTCATATTTTGTTTATTTAAGGCGTTGACGCAGTGGTCGAGTTGGTCTTTCGCTTAATCGATCAATACTAAAACTTGTTCACAACTTAAAATATTTATCCCCAATACTTAATAAAAATTCAAACATTACTTCTGTGAACCCTATTTTACGACTTAACTACATTTACTACAACTTTTAATCGACTTAAGTTTCTTGTGACGTAACTCTTAAAATGCTCGACCGCGCATTATAAAAAACACATTTGATTGACATAAGAGCTTCGCAGCTGCCTCGAGCATGCATATTTTCAATTATGAAAGTTAAACTTGGCAACGACATACGACTGTTGATCCAGATGCGCACGTTCTGACAGGATGATTGATATTTTCACCTTACTACTTTATTGAATCCCACGAAATGTCATGCATGAAAAGAAATGTGATTAATGGTTGCGAATGGGCCGAAATTATATTTACTCAGGCGTCTTGTGGCAAAAAATTAATCACTAATCCCTGTCATGCTCTTGCTACTTCTATTTTTATGGCTATTTTTATATGCGTATCTCAATCACTATGAAGCCTTGCGTAACAGAAGGAAGAGGTTCGAATTAAGATAGAGGCTGCTGAGATGGTGCATGGGATTGAGGATGGCGGTGACAGAGGCGGTAGAAGGATTGAGGGTAGTCGTGGTAGATGTGGTTTCAGGACGGGGGACAGAAATAGTAGTCGTTCGTTTTTCAGTGATGGCGTAGGAAGTAGCAAACCACCCTGTGCTTTGTGTATGGGAAACCATGGAGTGTGGGCATCTCGATGGACGGTTGCAAAAGAAAAACATCTGTGTTTTCGGTGTTTGGCCAGTAACCATACGGGAAAGTTGTGCACGCGGTCAAAGGTGTGTAATATTGATGGGTGTAAAAGAAACCATCATACGCTATTACACGATACACTACCGAAACCGCAAGACGGCCAAGACAGAACCAATGTTGAACCACGGGAGGGGGAGCATCAACGTACCCTTACATCGGTAAACGAAGGCGAAAGAATGGAGACATTGTCACTGCGAACAGTTCCCGTTTGGTTAAAGGCTAATAAGCGGAAGATAAAGATCAACGCGATTTTGGATGATGCCTCAAACGAAACCTTTTTAAATGAGGAAGTTGCGGGAGCACTCGGGTTATCTGAACCATTTGAGACTGTGAAGGTACATGTTCTGAACAACGAAGTGGAGACTTTTCAGTCAATGCCAGTGAAACTAACAATTGAGAGTGTTGATGGTCAATTCAGCAAAGAAATACAAGTAAAAACTTGTCCAAAGAAGGTGACCGGAACGCATAAAGTAGAGGACTGGGGTAAAAGCAAAGGGAACTGCCCTCATCTAAGGGAGTGTGAATTTGCCAAACCTGCAAAAGATGGGCTGGTAGACTTACTAATCGGTGTTGACAATACGGAACTGCATTATTCCAGAGCAGATGTCCGGGGCAGTGTTGGAGGTCCAGTTGCTCGACTAGGTCCACTCGGGTGGACTTGCATAGGGGCGCCAGAAGATCGCAAAGTTGCTGGACCTAGGACTCATGTTATACGAACCCACCTATTGGCTAATCCAGTCAAGATTGACAATGAAAGTGTTTGCTGTGATGTTGACCAGTCTATTAAACGGTTTTGGGAAATCGAGAGTTGTGGCACTGAAGCTTGTGAGACTAAGATTTACACTGAAGAAGAAAATGTAGCCCTAACGCTGGTCAAGGAATAGTTGAGCTATGATAACACTACACATCGATATACTGTGGGAGTTCCGTGGAAGGATGGTCGTCCGAAGTTGCCAGATAATCGCGAACAGGCCACATTCCGTTTGTGCAGCACGGAAAAGAAGTTGAAGAAGGACGAATTTCTACAAAGCGAGTACCAGAAAACTATCGACAGGTATATCAAGAAGGGGTATCTAAAACGTGTGTCTAACGACGAAGAAATTCCGCCAGAGGTATGGTATCTACCGCACTTCCCCGTGGTACGAATGGATTAAACTTCGACAAAGGTGCGAATCGTGTTCGATTGTTCTGCAAAAACGGGCGGAGTTTCGCTAAACGACGTGATTCACGCAGGTCCAAAATTACAACAGGACCTGTTTGACGTGTTAATTCGTTTCCGTCGAAACCCAATCGCGCTCGCGTGTGATATCAGAGAAATGTACTTACAAGTTGAGATCATGGAGAACGACCGACGTATGTTTCGAATCTTATGGAGAGACCTGGACAGTGATCGGGAACCTGATGTTCTCGAATTCAGCCGCGTAGTCTTCGGAAAGAATGCTGCACCAATGGAATGCCAGTTCGTTATTTAAGAAAACGCCAGACGGAACCAAAGTTCATATCCAATGGCAGCTGAAACAGTGTTAAAATCCACATACATGGATGATTCAATCGACAGTGTTGATACAGAAGAAGAGGGAATCGAGTTATATCAACAACTGGATGGTTTATGGAGCTTAGAAGGTATGAAAGCAAGAAAGTGGATATCAAATTCTTCCAAGGTCATTTCAGCTACCCCAGAGGAAGATCGTGCAACTGAATTCAATCTAGGTGGCCAGAAAGATCCTGTAGTAAAAACACTTGGACTTTCGTGGAAGAGCAAAGAGGATGTGCTATCCATTGCTACTGCGGAAGTACCACCAGATATATCGTTGACTAAACGGAATGTGTTGAAAAAAATTGCTACCGTATTCGATCCGCTCGGTTTTGCAAGTCCATACGTGGTTGTGGCCAAGATTCTCCTGCAAGAATTATGGACGAGAGGTTATGATTGGGACGAAGTTATTCTGGACGAAATTGGAGACAAAATTATGCAATGGTTCCAACAGTTGGAGAGTTTGGCGGGTATACGAGTTCAAAGGTGTCTTCGCGAAATGAAGAAAGTTGTAATGAAGAAAGTGATCACCTTCGTTGATGCATCCATCCAGGCGTATGGGACAGTGGTTTATTTATTGTGCGAGTATGATGACGGGACAGCGAGTAGCCGGATTATCGCGTTTAAGACTAAGGTCGCACCATTAAAACCTATAACGGTGCCAAGGCTGGAGCTGATGGCCGCGATACTTGGTCTTCGTTTAGCACAGAACATTATTCGTACTTTAGAAATACCAGTCCAGACGGTATTGTTCTTCTCAGACAGCAAAGATGTGTTATGGTGGGTGCGAGGTTGCGGGCGTGATTTCCGACCGTTTGTGGCAAATCGTGTAGGAGAAATACAAATGGAAACTGAACCATGGCAATGGCAATATGTACCAACTGAGCAAAACCCAGCAGATCTGTGCACACGGGGAGCAAGTCCATCTGAGCTCAAGAATAGTCCTTTGTGGTGGAATGGACCTTCATGGTTGCTCGAAGATCAGGCTAAGTGGCCAAAGATGGATGTCGGAAGTCGTCCAGTTAAGTTGCCGGAAACGAAAGCTTCAAAAGAGGAACTCAAAGAAAAGGGGAATTCGACTTTTACCACTCGGCAAGGCAGGTGTTCAAAACAGCAGCCGACCGAACAGCAGATAACGAATGACGAATGGCAACTCGACTCGAAACGTTTTTCAAGTTGGATACGACTCGTACGGTTACACGCCAGAGTGAAGAGAGTAGTGCACAACATGAAGAACGGTGCTGAAAAGCATTGCAGCAAGGAACTAATTCCAGACGAAATCCGAGATGCGGAGGAAGACATCATCCGTCAGGCGCAAAAGGAGGCTTTTGTAGAGGAATATGCAATGTTACAGAAAAAGAAACCTGTCTCACAACGAAGCATTCTGTCCAAGCTTAACCCCGTACTCGATGAACAAGGAATTATTCGTTCGGACAGTCGCTTGAGATATGCAGAGTATCTACCCTATCATGTTCGATTTCCTATAATACTACCTAGAGGCCACTGGACGACGAAACTGATTGTCAAATATCATCACGAGATGGCGAATCATGACGCAGGCACCAACTTCGTGTTATCCCAGATTAATCAGAAATACTGGATTATCGCTGCCCGTGAAGAAATCAGAGAATGGGAAAGAACCTGTAACGAGTGTAAGAAACGCAAGAACAAAGCAGCAACGCAGATCATGGCTCCTTTACCCTCAAGACGGACTCGCTTGACATACCGTGCATTCGACCAAGCAGCGGTGGATTACGCTGGACCCATTCAGACTATCCAGGGCAGGGGAAAGAAACGACTAAAGCGTTGGTTGTGTGTATTTACATGTACGGCTACGAGGGCCATACATCTGGAAGTGGCGTTTGGTTTGGACACTGATAGTTTTCTCAATGCTTTCGAAAGATTCACGAGCAGACGAGGAATACCATCGGAGATAATAAGTGATAACGGAACAAACTTCGTGGGGGCTGTTAGCGAGTTAAAAGAGTTGGCGAATAAGTTGGACAAGGAAAAGATTCAAAGATTTACGGCGCACAAGAATGTCAAATGGGTTTTCAACCCTCCTGCCGCCCCACACTTTGGTGGAGTTTTTGAGAGCATGGTGAAGACAGCAAAAAGAGCATTGTACGCGGTGTTGGGAAACAGTGACGTAACGGACGAGGAGTTAATAGACAGATTTAGATAGAGGACGGGAACGTCAAGAGTACGTCAAAATATTGCGTGAGGTCTGGTTCGAGGACGTCGCCGTGTTGTTGACAAAAAGAGATTTAGATTTTTATATAGGACGTCAAGAGTACGTGGAATATTTTTTTGGTTTGGAAAATGCATCTTTATTACCGAACACTTGTGTGAATAAATCTATTTCAAGTAAAGGATGATGAACAAAAGGTTTACCATAACAGAGTTTTTAAAATATATAATGAAAGCTATATATGTATGTTACGAACTATTGCGTATCTACGGATTGTCAATGAAACTGAATATAATATATAAAAACTAAACATTTACCAAAAAATATTTATTTTTATTTCCATGTTACCTATAAGATTGTTCCCAAAGGTGTTTTTAAAATAAAATTTTAGTCGTTAAATAGCGTAATGCTCTCGTGATATTTGCTGTATTTGTTTTTTATCAACCGGTTCATGACAATTTGGACATTAGTTTGGACAAAATGAGTTTGCAATCTGTTCGTGATGCTTTAGTTTTTACGCGAGCTCAACGATATATATCTGATGCTGAATTTGTTTTATTGTACGATTACAACTGGTCAAAACCGCTATTCCCTTATTGGAAATTCGAGTCTTTTAATGTTGATGCTTGGGATGACGAGGAATGCAGGACTGAATTACGGTTTGCCAAGAAAGACCTACCTTTACTGAAGCAGCTGTTGGGAATTCCTGAAAAAATCACATGTCAACAAGGCACAACATGCTCTGGGGAAGAAGGTCTGTTTATTTTGTTGAAACGATTTGCCTATCCATGCAGATACACCGATATGGTAAGCCGGTTTGGGAGGAATCCAACAGAATTGTGTCTGATCTACAACAAAGTGTTAGACTTGGTGTATGAGCAGCATCATCACCGCCTAGAGAGCTGGAATCAGCCTTTTTTGTCTCCAGAAAAGCTTCAAAGTTATGCTGATGCGATTCATAACAAGGGTGCCCCACTTGACAATTGTTTTGGCTTTGTGGATGGGACTGTTCGCCAAATTGCACGACCAAAGTACCATCAACGAACTATGTACAATGGTCACAAAAGGGTGCATGCAATAAAATTTCAAAGTGTAGTTGTGCCAAACGGTCTGATTGCAAACCTTGCTGGACCCTTCGAAGGTAAACGACATGATAGCACTATCTTACATGAATCAGGTCTTTTAACAAGCCTGGAACAGGTTGCCTTCTACAATAACCAACCCCTCTGCATATATGGTGACCCTGCCTACCCCTTGAGAGTCCATCTACAAGCACCATTTAGAGATAGGGAGCTAACACCCGAGATGATTGAATTCAACCGAGAGATGAGTCAGGTGCGAATCTCTGTGGAGTGGATGTTTGGAAACATTACTAAATATTTTAGATTTGTTGACTTCAAAGCACTCATGAAGTTACATTTGAGTCCAGTTGGAAAGATTTACTGTGTTGCTGCATTGTTACAGAATGCTCACACATGTTTGTATGAGAACCTTGTTTCTCATTTTTTTGGTCTTCAACCACCATCAGTTCATGAATATTTCTGGCAATGAGTTGTGACCTAATCTATAGTTTGTTTACATGAGTTATGCCAACTAGCCAATTGCCTATATTTTTATATACTTTTATATACTATATGTATATATATATTTTATATACTTTTATATACTATATATATATTTTTATATACTAGCCAATTGCCTATATTTTTATATGCATTTTGTCAAGAAAAATCAAATAATTTATTTAATATTGTTCAAATTGTTAATACACAATGTAATTGTAAATAAATTTTGTAACATAAAAATTTATAAATATTTTTTATCTTCTTAGGATATAATAAAGTTATAAAATGTCTGTTAATCAATGACACAAAGTACCATGCATGCATGTTCTTAATTTATTTTTTAAGCATGTTTGCCAACATTTGTGTTTGCTGCTGCTGCTGCTGCATTAAAGCCAACATTTGCTGTTGTAAAAAACCAAATTCTTGCTGGTGCTGTTGTTGTTGTTGTTGTTGCATTTGTAATTGCTGTTGTAGATGTTGCTCAGATAGCTTCATTTGCATGCTGAACTGTTGCTGACTCTGTTGCATTACCTGCAAAAGTTCCAAATGTTGGTTCATTTGCATCTCCACATGCTCCCGTTTTTCTGCCTGCTTTAACTCTCTCTCTTCTTTTTCCAATTCCACCCTCTGCTGCAACCACTCCATCATGTCTCCAGATCTTCTTCTCCTCTGAGGTGGACCACTCTCACTTGTCATTCCAACCCTTTTCTTTGTTTCCCCCAACCTCTCCATTGCTCGTTCCCTCATCTCCAATGCCTGCTCTCGTTCATTCTCGATCCTCTGACTTCTTGCTGCACACTCTGTTTCCATCTGCCGATCAGTCTCGTCCTCAATATTGATTAGTTCTTCCATCAGTTTTTCATACTCCGTCATTTCTTCACCACCTTCCCCTGTAGCTCGCTCTTCTTTAGCCATTTGGGCGCGATATTTCTTTGCCGCCAAACTGTAGCGCTCTCTGACCCCCCTCAAAGTGACTGCCTGACCCAAAGTACTGACATTATCAGCTACACTTTGCCACCCCAGACCACGTTCTCTTGACCTTTGCTTATGTGTCAGAACACCTAGAGCTGCCACTTCCTTCAAAAGTATTAAGTCTTTGTCTTTTGACCACACCATGCTGGACCTAAAAAATATTTTACACTTTCAACTGAAATTTTCATTTATTACTTAAGCAGTAGTGAGCAAACTATGGGCGATATTGCTGAATAAATAACCAACACTTGGGGCACAGTGGGAGCTAAGTGCATTGGCATATTAAGCTGTATGTATATTGAATAAAATTTATTAAATTGTGCAGAGCTTTGATGTGTGTACAATACCTCTTGTTTGGGCAATCCTTCTTGTCTTCCATAGAGCAAATGGCACTTACTCAAAATAATGCTGAAAAAAAGACAAACGAAATTAGGAAATGTTGTGTCAAGAGTGAACAAATTATACTCTGCCTGTATGAATATACGTGAAAACGTAAACAATCTTTTTGAAAATCATGTTAAATGTTGAACAAAACCATGAAACGTCAACTGTTTTAAAACCACAAAGTCCACAATTCACAAACGATGAACATTATTAGTTATTGATGATTGTAAATGCGTGTATCTTTAAAACCATTCTGATGGATCTATAGTCCTGGGTAAAAAGTGTTTATCTCGATTCTCGACCTACTAAAAACACTGTGAATAAAATTACGCAAAATGTGCATAATTTTGTATGCTAATTAGTACATAATATTCAAAATAATGATAAAATAGTTGCTACCGCAAATTATTTTAAAATCATTTGTGTACGTACCTTTTTGATGCAAAAAAACCCCCAAAAAACCCGACGTCCTAAACACAACGTGAAAATTTGATTTTGGCGTCCTGAAACCTGACGAGACGACGTCGTCAACAAAACAACGCCAAATTTTCGCGCCATATTACGCGATCTTACGTACTCTTGACGTTCCCGTCCTCAATCTAAATCTGTTTAATCACCGCATGCGCCGGTGTGGAGAGTTTGATCAATTCGAGACTCTTAACATATCAGTCGGCAAGCCCACAAGATGACGTACCATTGACTCAAAACCATTATCTTCACGGTCAGGTCGGGGGATCCTTCGCTCCAGAAGTCGTTGACATCGAACCGTTTAATCCTCGAAAGCGATGGCGTAAGGTGCAAGATTTAATCTCTAGAGTTTGGTCGAGGTGGCTTAAAGAATACTTGCCCACACTGATCATGAGACCAAAGTGGACGGAAGTGGTGAAGGATTTAAAAGAAGGAGATGTCGTTCTATCTATTGACAAAGATCTGCCTCGTGGTCGTTGGCCTTTAGCACGAGTTGTTCAGACGTTTCCAGGGCGAGATGGCCACATTAGGGCGGCAAAAATCCAGTGCGGGAATAGAACACTTATGAGGCCGATCCATAAGCTGGTTCCCATAGAACATTAGAGCGTTAAAAAGATAATAGGAAATTCAGTTAAACGTTGGTTGACATTAATGTTTGTTAGAATAGTCACACTTCCTTTCCTCAGTGTGGGGAGGGGGGATGTTCGGGAGACTTTCGTTAACCGAATGAACTTCGTAGGAACTTCGGAACCTCCCGGAAAAACACATGTTTTATCGGGTTTTGGTGAATTTTCGTTTTGATCTTTGGATAATCTTTTGTAAAAGCTTTTGTACAACATTTTTCTTATTGAAATATATCATTTATTGTTTTTGTACCAATCGTATGGGATAATTTGCGAGTTCTAAGGAACAATACCCAATAGGAAGAAAGGTAGTAATTGTTAATAATAATTAATCAGTAATTAAATAGTGCATGAGATATATAGAGCATGCTAGAGATTTAAGGAATCGACACAGGTCGCTGAAGGAGCAACATCTATGTACGAAGTCAGATTTATTAGAGTTAAAGTTTTGATAACTAGAATTAAATAAAGTTTTGGAGTATAAAGTCAACGTTGTGAATCACTTTTGGCGATACGCGAACTGGCAAAGTAACCTAGCTGCACATGGTACGAGGTAACACTTACATATGGTTTCTGTATCTCATACATTAGCATGTATCTCCGACCATAAAATTATTAACCTTTGCATGCACTGTTAATTCAATCTGTTGTGATAACACAAAAGCGTCTTTGAAGTGGGTTGTTCATTCTAGAGTGGTATTTTCTTCATACAGACACACTCGAACACGCAGTTATAGCAACAACAAAAGTTTTTTTTATTATAAGTATATTTATAATTATGCTTTCGTGTTGGATATCGGAGTGCTGAGGTAACGCCCTCTCAAATTAACATACTTCGTTATTTTAAGATTTTGTGTGCACAATCCTGCAAGCATGTCTATATTCGTCCCTAACTTAGCAGTATCTACCTAAACCGGCTGTTCGTACGATATTATTAATTCCTTTGAATACATGAAATTACTTACGTTAATGAACACGCTATGGACTATAGATATATAAGATACATGATTATAAGGAACATTTATAACCTAATTTGTTATTAACTAATTTCTTTTAGTAATAAATAAAAACGCTTTTGTTCAGTCCTGTGCAATTTCCTCTTGCTGACTATATATAATGACTGAGCTATTAGCTATTGAAAAGAATGTTTTGTTTGCATGATGATCTCTACTACGAACATGTTTTGTCAAACAGTCAGTAGACGGAAAAAATAATATATTTCGCAAAAATTTTTTCAAGTGCGCATGCAGGAGCGTTATTGTATATGTTAGTCTTGCGGCCACAGGTTCTTTAGATATCGTTGCACACACCAGTATTACTCACGATTTGACTTCAACTCTTTACTTTTATTATAACAATATAACAACAATATGCAAGTGATCTACACTCCTATCGTATCTGACTTCGACTCACTTCTTTTCACACACGTGTGTATATGTTATCTGATACATGTCTGTCTCATCGAGTCTGGCTAATTAATGCGGCTTACATATTTCCCCCCCCCAAGATAAGTGTCGTCCCGTGACACTTGGAGATGTTTTTTTCTCTACTTATATAATAAACGCTAAATGTTGTACCATAGGGTACGTTGTTCTTTCAGAGACATGTGTCTCTCATGACTCTATCACAGCACAATACAAAACTTTTTTTCAAGGATCCTAATTTACGATAATCTACTTTGTTATCTTCGTAGCCAAAATAACACGCTGCAGCTTGTATTACCGTGGAATAACTGTCTACTTATCTCACGTGATAGCTTCTGGATACCGTGCATCCTAAAAATTTTGTGAAGGTTGAAAGCGTTTTTTATTTTTTTGGGTTTTTTTTATATCTAATACGAAGTAAAACAATTTTAATAACTAAGGTTCATGTTTTCTTGATACGGCATCGCTGGCTGCCCATACTCTGGTCGATAGTGGCTGGTTGATGGGAAGGGTATGTTGGGGTGGAGAAATGGGTAAGGTAGGTTCACAAGAGGTGGCTGGGTGAATGGATATGGTATGTTCACGGGAGAGGGCCACGTAAAAGGGGGAAGTGGTACGCTGGATGGCTGGGGGGGTCGGTAGGGTATGTTCACGAGAGGTGGCCACGTAGCCGGAGGAAGTGGTGGGGTTGTTGTTGTCATGTAGCACACATTTGCTGGGTCGACTTGGCCAGGTGCGTAGTACGTCAAGCGGTCAGGTGGATGCCTTAGTCTTCTTGTTCTTGACTGTTCAGTCTGTGGTGGCTCCGTCTCAACTGCGTTCTCCATTTCAGCTGTGTTTTCGTCCTCTACTTCGTTTGCGTTATTGCCTTCGACTACGTTCTCGTTTTCGACTACGTTTGCGTTTTCGTTCTCTACTACGTTGGCGTTCTCGTTCTCAGGGACACATACGTTCTCATTCTCGACTACGTTTGCGTTCTCGGGAACGTCAAGGCTTGTATCGCTGGGGTTTACGTTCACTACTACTTCGTGCAAGTCTTCGTCATCACAAGATAACTCTCCGCCGTCTGAGGTTGGATGAACGAGTTTCGTTTGTCTTTGGTTACTTGGCCTGGGTAATGAGGTTCCTTTGGTCTGATGGTCTTCTATTGGCAAGGAATTACACGGAAGAAGGTTTCTATGCAAAGTTCTTCTCCCCGTCCCCGTGCCTTCGGGTTTAACCTCGTAAACTGGACTTTCCGTACTCTTCCTTCGCACAACTACGTGTATGTCCTTTTCCCAGTAGGCTCTCAGTTTTCCCGGACCACCACGTTCACTTAAATTCCGTACTAATACTCTATCGCCAGGCTGTAGTACTGAGCTTCGAACCCAACGATCGTAATGTTTCTTCGCTTTGCCCCCTTTCTCTTTCGCCTTTCTTCCAGCCAACTGATATGCCTCGTGCATGGCATTTTTCCACTCTGACACGTACCGTGGGTAGGTTTTACAGGTGGTTGCTAAATTGGGATGAAGCAGCACGTCGATTGGTAGTCGGGGATGTCGTCCGGAGAGGAGAAAGAATGGTGAGTAGCCGGTTGTATCGTTCCGTGTACAATTGTACGCATGTACGACTTTGCTTACGTGGTCTTTCCAATGGGACTTTTGATTTTCAGGGAGTGTTCTAAGCATATCCAATAGCGTTCTATTGAATCTCTCCACTTGACCATTCCCTTGTGGGTGGTAAGGGGTTGTCCGAGAATGTTTCACACCGCAGAGTTGTTCCAACCTACCGAGGAGTTGATTCTCAAACTCTCCGCCCTGATCGTGATGGAATTTGGCGGGGAACCCGAAACGTAGCACGAAATCGTTGTAAAGCTTCTCTGCCACGGTTTTTCAAGCTTTGTTTCGGGTGGGGTAGGCTTGAGCGTATCGCGTGAAATGATCAACGATCACTAAGATGTACTCAAACCCACCACTCGACTTCTCTAGATGAACAAAATCAATAGATACCAACTCAAATGGCGAGGACGTTATAATTGGTTGTAGTGGGGCTCGTTTCTTCAGCCGTGGAGGCTTTTGTTTTACACAATGGCACGCGTTCTTTACGTAATGTTCAACGTCTCGCTGCATGTGGGGCCAGTAAAATCGGTCTCTGGCCAGATGTAGAACACGATCAGAACCGAGATGACCCATGTTGTTGTGGAGTTATCTTAGTACCATCGCATGATAATTTCTGGGTAGGACTATTTGGTCATGGGTTCCTTTATTCCGTCGTAATACTCCGTCTGAGCCAATTGACAGTTTCTGCCATTCATGGAAAAGCGACCGAGGTTGGTTGGTTCGCGAGTTCGCTCGCTGGCCGTGGGTCGCTTGTTTACTTTGACAAAGGAGTATACTCTACCAATAACTCTATTCTCGATTTGGGCTTGTCTAATGTCCTCTGCTCCCAATGTTGGTCCATTGCTCTTTGGAGTTCTTGATGTGTCGGCATCTAGGGTACTTGCATCGTTGACTAACGAAGATACCAATTCAACTTTTCTTGCCCCTGGAATTTCACGGTCTGGATTATGGTCCGTAACTCGTCTTGTGCCGTCTCCTCAGTACATAAGTTCATGTAGTTGTCCATATCTTTCGGTGCTCGAGATAATGTGTCGGCGTCAGCTTTTCCAGGTCGATAGCGAATGGTGAAGTTGAAATCGGCTAACTCCCCTATCCACCTAAGTCCTGTTGCAATTTGGCCGTAGACAAGATATATGTCAAGGGGTTGTTATCGGTGAACACAACAAAACCTGGCGCATAGTAGAGGTAGTTTCTGAACTGTTCCCAAATTGCCCACTTCAGAGCGAGGAATTCTAACTTGCCGGAGAGAAGGTGGTAGTTTCTCTCAGCTGTCGTTAACGTGCGGGAACCGTAAGCGATGACTCGTAGAATACCATTCTGTCGTTGGTAAAGCACCGCGCCAGCCCACTTTCGGACGTGTCGGTGTGCAACACGAAGGGGCTATTAGGTTCTGGATAAGCCATTATAGACACGCTCACAAGACACTGGATGAGCCTCTCCAAGGCTATTTGATGGATTGACGTCCAAGATATTTGTTGGTTTGGAGATGGCTGGTTGCGACGTTTCCGCTTAGGGTCTTCATTGAATTCAGTGTTGTCGGCTACCTTGACGAGGTCATAAATTGGCTTCGCGATTCTCGAGAAGTTCTCGATGTACCGACGATAGTAGTTTAGGAATCCCATCAATTTCCGGACGTCGTTTACGGTTTTTGGAGGGGTTTCTTTCATACGAAGAATTGGAGCAACTGTAGTCGGACCCAGCTTATAGCCTTCTTCTGACATGATTCGCCCAAGAAACAGGACCTCGCGTTTAAACATCTTGCATTTTTTTGGTTTGAGCTTGACACCGTGTGCTTTCAGGCGTTGAAGGACTTTCCGAAGGTGCCCAATGTGTTCGTCGAAAGATTTGCTGAACACGATGATATCATCCAGGTATGGCACGCACATCTCGTCCCGTAAATCACCCAAACATGTTTCCATGAACCGTTGGAAGGAGGCCGGTGCATTGCATAACCCGAATGGAATCCGAACCCACTCATATAGTCCCCATGGAGTGATAAAAGCTGTTAGGGGTTGACTTTCTTTCTTGAGAAATCCTTGATGGTACGCTTTACCCTGGTCCAGTACCGAAAACCACGAGCTTCCCCCTAGGTTGTCTAAGGTTTCCTGGATTCTCGCTATTGGGTGGCGATCCACTTGGCTTTTTTTGTTAAGCTCCCGGTAGTCAACGCACAGTCGTAGGCTCTGGTCTTTTTTCCTGACACAAACCACAGGCGAGCTATACGATGAAGTTGAACTACGGACAAAGTTTTTGTTCAGTAGGTCTTCGATGTTTGCTTTCACCTCTGGATATAGTGGTCGGGGCACAGCAACATAGTTCTTTTGAACTGGTGTAGTGTCGTTGAGTTTGATGTCCATTTGAAGCTCTGTGATGCATCCAACATCGTCATCATCTACGGCAAATGCATCAGCCTCTTCGATAAGCAGCTGCGTCGCGGCTTCTCTTTGCTCGATGTTCAAATCTCTCAAGTCCACATCGTCCAGGTGTTTTGGCCAGTTCGTTGTTTGGTCACCAGTGTTTTTGCAGGTGTCTTTATTTAGTTTTGGAGGCGACTCATTGTCTGCTTTTAACTTCACCTCAACTGGGGTAACTGATTGAACAAGTTGTAAGCGTCCTAGCACCGTTCTGTTCCGTAATACTATGTCATGCTTGGTCGTATTCCTCACTTCTACTTCCACCCTGTTAGATTTACCTGTCATTGCGGCCAATAGGTTGTCCGAAACTTGGAGACCTGAGGGCCACTGACCGTTCTCATCGGCTTCGAATAAAACAGGTGTGGGTTTGTTCAGAGGACCAGTGTTCGCTCTACAGCTCACTTTAAGGGATTTTCCCCGGGGTATTATTACATCTTTTTTGCAGGTCTTTACGAGACATAATTCGCCGTGGTTTACCCCGTTCACTATATCAACCAGAGCTGTCGCATTGCAAACACTCACGCCATTTAAAGCCGTTGCCATCTCGTTACCTTGCAGGTTATTGACTTTGGTTAAGTGTTCGATTGCATTAAAGCCGATCAATGGAAGTTCCATTTCCTCCCTTGCCACTAGAAACGGAACAGAAAGTACGTGTTCAGAATCTCCAATTTGGAGATCCAACTCAACCCATCCGTTGTACGGTATGCTACTACCATTGGCTGCAGTCACGGTCAAGTTACCATCCAGTAACTCACCAACATCTCTTACCAACACGCTTGGAAAGTTCTGCTTAATGAAACTGGCCGAAACAATAGAGACTTGGGCCCCAGTGTCCCACAGAATCTCTGCTCTTCTTCCGTTAAGTCTCGCTTTAAGAGAACATCTCCTGCCCACAAGGCTTACTACCTTTTGGTGTTGTTTTGGTGACAGATGGCTGAGGAAGATACCTGAATTTGCGTCTTCTGTCGTTTGCCTCCTGTTTTGGGGTTGTCACTTAATGGCGTTACACAAAGTCTTATGTTGTGGCCCGTGTTTTCGCTGGCATTTCGTACCACAGTAATTTACAAGCTTGCGACATTCACAACGCAAAAAAGTCTGTTCCAATACTTGATTGCAGCCATTGCACTGATGGGACACTTCCATTTCTTCGGCTAATCCCTGAATGAATGCTTTCATGAATTGGCCATTCAAGATTGAATTTATCTGCTCATAATAAATGATTTTCCATTTTCATTTAAGATTTTGTAAGTTTCCCTTGAAATGACATCCCAAACACTCTATTATTCACTATTTGTGCACTAAAGAGCATTATAGCATATATGACATATTTACCATTAATTATGTGCAGTGCTTCTGGTTTTATCGCTGCAATTGGAATTTTCCAACCTTTGGCCATCTTGCATTTCTCCTCGTTTCGTTTTTTTATGTCTGTTATAGTACAGTCATCCTGAACAGCAAACATCATTGATGTGCTTGATGTTTTATCTGACATACTCTTCAGAAATGCTGAAACATCCTGTGTGACAGATGGTACATAAACAGTATATACAGATTCGTATTAAAAATAAAAATGTAAAACAGGTATGTTCTTTATTCTTAGGGGATTTCAATTTATTGCAAAATGTTGCGTGATCACTTTCTTTTCATATGAGTTCACAATCAAGGTCATTAGGTGCACTTAATGTACACAGGACTATCTTATGACAACATACCTTGCTTTTTATATTGATAAACGTGTCTAGAACAGACGATTTTATTCCTATTGCTGGGCCATATTGTTGGTAAACGGGAAGTGTCGTTAATGGATTAAGCCATTTCATAACCTGAGAAAAACGATAATTAGTTATAAATTCGATATTGTATGAGCAACCTCTAGGCTGAATTTAAATTAGTGAAATTTTCGGCTCGTTTTTCTTTTCCATTGTGACTGGTCAAGGGATTCCGCTACGGTCGAATTCTCACAATAGAAAAGAAAATTCGACCTAGTGGAAAACTGCCCTAATGACAAGTGCCTGCAAAGCCAATAGGTACATGAACGTAAAGTAATAATTAGCTCGTGAAAACCACATCGTTTGGTTGCATCAATGGTATTTCACTGCCAAATTGGTCGAAATTTAGTTAGTTATTATCAATTGAATTTATTCAATTACGTACATTTTCGTCATCCTTCGTCAGTCTTTCCATCAGGCATGTATTTAATTTTTCCAATAAATCTTGGCCATCATTGCCCTTTTCCACAGCCATATCTTGAATCAGTTTCATAATTGCATCCTTGCATCGTGGTTTTATGCCTACAGATGTTTCAAACTGAAAAAGAACATCATATTGGAGAGGGAAAATCAACATAAAAGGAAAATGTTCAGTATCTTGTTTCTTGGCGAAAGATACCTGTTCAAACAGGTAATACAATTTTAGTACCGAGGATGCACTTCGTTCCTCTGACTGGAAGGCGTACGTAGGTGCGATTCTTGTCAGACGATCGAGCTAATGTCCTAACCCTAGCGTCTACACATTTTTGGTCGAAAGGTGAACGTACTATCGCATATGTTGCTATAATAGCTGAAGCCCCTTGTTGCCATCTGTCTTGAATTTTGGGCGGAACTAATCGTGACAAAATTTTTTCCACCAGGGGCCGGTTGTTCAAAAGCCGGTTAGCTTAACCCTGGGTTAAAGCAAATCTTCACATCGATTTTTTAAATCGCTTGTTTACAAAGTTGAATATCTTTTTTCATAAATATTTTCTGTACTAATAGAAGTCATATTTTCTAAAGTTTCAAAACGAATAGTGGTTCAGAAGCACATAAACTAAAACACTGGATTAAAATTAACCCAGGGTTAACGCTAACCTAGCTTTGAACAACTGGCCCCAGGGTGCAAATTGTCGGGAATTGCTGTTGCCAAAAAGGAAACATTCTGATCACCCATGCTAGTAGAAACCCCTATATAAGTAAAGGTAAAAATAAAATTAAATTGGATATCCTGTGGCGAAAATCTTACGAACACACGATAACTTCAGATAACATTATACCGTGTGAATTTCAGCTATTGATCCAATGCCGGCTTTAAGCTTTTGCCTGTCTTCTACCGAAAATGGCGTTTTTCGGTATTTTAGCACAATGATCCTCCCATCGGCTCTGAAAATGTTAATATTTTCACAGTATATATAGGAATTCCGTCGACTTATATGCATGATATGTTTGTGCATGGATACGTTCCAATATAACCAGAGAGCAGCGTAGCAGCGTCTTCAAACAGCTTCTTATCAAATGTGGTATGACAACTGGCTAAAATATAGACTAAGCACCTCTCGACGTTTTGACCTAAGCCAGGGTCCTTGTCACGACGTAAGGGCGAGAAATGTTTTGTCTATTTTAGGCAGTTGTTATACCACATGTCATGCGAAATTGATATATATATATATATATATATATATATATATATATATATATATATATATATATATATATATATAATATTATATATATATTATATATATATTATATATATATTATATATATATTATATATATATTATATATATATATATATATATATATATATATATATATATATATGTATATATTGTATTATATATTGTATTCATGTTCATGAACTATTCTATACGTACTTTGTTGCAAGGGTACAACTAAATACAAATTGATTCGTGCATGTCAATACTCTGATTTCTCTTACCTATTGAAAACATCGTTGTTAGAGGTCAAAAGCAAACTTCCTTCAGGTGCTGCTAATCCACCTGCTATCGACCCTGCAAAGAGCCCACTGCCTGTTTGCAGGAGAAACTCTTCCATACCTGGCGTTATTATTGGATCGACTAACATGACCACTACATTAGTTTGTGTCAAAATTTTTCGAATCATTGCCCTATAGAGCGCAAAATTGAAGCATAAATAGTAATGAGTAAATAAAGCATGTGTATAATGTTTAATTAAAACGATTTACATTTTTTTGTTGATGAGGGATGCTTTTTCAGTTTATGTACTTCCCTAATAAATAGATGTTTGTTAACTGGACAGAATAATAGTATATTTTGACTTACACGGATGTTCCTGTTTTATTTTTATCTCCACCAGCCGGTAGTAAAGAATGCTGTCTACGATTAACACCCTGTGCCTTGGAAAGGATATCTAGGGTAAAGGATTTCCCGACATTTCGCTCTGCAATGGTGGAATGTAGCAGCAAGATTGAACTCTCGTCTATAATGAAACATGCGAGAAAAACTCGAATTAACTCAATTCAACCGTGCATATGATTCAAACCTCGTACGCAAATGTCCTAGCACGAGTATTTAGAGAATTGACTTTTATAACGTCCTGTTTAAGAAAACCTTTATACCACTAGAAATTATGCCATAGATATAGTTGCATCAACGATTTCATGCATACACTAATTATATGCCAAGTTAAGATATTGAACATTGCGTACCCCAATGGTTATTGTCGCCTGTTCTTAAGAGACGAAGCAGAAGAAATGCTGTCGCTAACTTGAAGGCCATTGTATTTTCCTTGAACGCCAATGATTTCTCGATAAATCTATATGAAATGGATTGTGCTCAGATGATTCACTAGCGAGCTTAGGATGCACCAAAGTCCAGATCTACGACGCGGACGTGACATAAAAACAGTTTTGGAATTTAGTTTTAGTTTTTATCCGTATCATAAAACTGTATAGAATAATAGGTAAAACAATAGTTTCTCCTGATATTCGCGTCGTAGATTTGCTGCATCTTATGCTTGCTACTATTCAACCCCACCAATGGTGTTTAAACGGCATCTTATACTTTGTTCTTCAAGGGAAGGAGATGTGAACTGGTGCAAATAATTACAATTTTAATCAACCTCACTATAGTATTATATGTCTGTAGTATCTAACGCTATTATACTTCAGTCTCTCACGCGACGGTATATGTTTTACAATACAATTTTATGCGTTATTTTTCAATTGGGGGGCATGCCTAAATTTCCCTAGAATTCTCGAAACGCCCACCCCCAATATTTCATGTGTGTCATATGACAGTGTCCGCCACTGTTTTAATCCGTGATTTTGAAATCGATTGTATTCGGAGTAAATTGTTGGTAAAAAATGAACAAACCTTTGGCATATTAGCAACAAATTTGAGCTGTCGCTTAATAATCGCTCCTCAAGGAAAAGCTCAAAATCCGTCAGATCCGTTAGACTAAAATAGTGTTTCTTGTCTTCTTCCTTAAGAAACTGGCCATCATTGTTTATTTGTATCTGAAATGAAACAAGCTATTATAGATACATAGTAATTATATTGGGATTTTTGAAACCCTTCAGACCATTGAAACCCTTGAAACCTCCAAGACCATTGGAACCATTGAAACCCTTGAAACCCCTGAGACCATTGAAAACCTTGAAACCCCCGAGACCATTGAAACCCTTGAAACCCCCAAGACCATTGGAACCATTGAAACACTTGAAACCCCTGAGACCATTGAAACCATTGAAACCCTTTAAACCCCCGAGACCATTGAAACCTTGAAACCCCCAAAACCATTGAGACCATTGAAACCCTCGAGACCATTGAAACCCTTGAAACCCCTGAGCCACTGATACCATTGAAACCCCCGAGACCATTGAAACCCTTGAAACCCCAAAGACTATTGGAACCATTGAAACCCTTGAAACCCCTGAGACCATTGAAACCCTTGAAACCCCCAAAACCATTGGAACCATTGAAACCCTTGAAACCCCCGAGACCATTGAAACCTTGAAACCCCCAAAACCATTGGGACCATTGAAACCCTTGAAACCCCTGAGCCACTGAGACCATTGAAACCGTTGAAACCCCCGAGACCATTGAAACCTTGAAACCCCTGAAACCCTTGAAACCCCCAAAACCATTGGGACCATTGAAACCCCTGAAACCCCCGAGACAATTGAAACCCTTGAAACCCTTGAAACCCCTGAGCCACTGAGACCATTGAAACCCTTGAAACTTTCGAGACCATTGAAACCCTTGAAACCCCCGAGATCATTGAAACCCTTGAAACCCCCAAGACCATTGGAACCATTGAAACCCTTGAAACCCCCGAGACAATTGAAACCTTGAAACCCCCAAAACCATTGGGACCATTGAAACCCTTGAAACCCCCGAGACCATTGAAACCCTTGAAACCCCTGAAACCCTTGAAACCCCTGAGCCACTGCTACCATTGAAACCCTTGAAACCCCAGAGACCATTGAAACCCTTGAAACCCCTGAGACCATTGAAACCCTTGAAACCCCCAAGACCATTAGAACCATTGAAACCCCTGAAACCTCCGAAACCATTGAAACCCTTGAAACCCCCAAGACCATTGGAACCATTGAAACCATTGAAACCCCTGAAACCTCTGAAACCCTTGAAACCTCTGAAACCACTGAAACCCTTGAAACCATTGGGACCATTGAAACCATTGAGACCCCTGAAACCCTTGAGACCATTAATTGAGACCATTGAAACCCCTGAAACCCTTGAGACCATAGAAACCCCTGAAACCCTTGAGACCCTTGAAACCCTTGAGACCATTGAAACCCCTGAAACCCTTGAGACCATTGAAATTTGAAACCATTGAAACCCTTGAAACCCCTAAAACCCTTAAGACCTCCGAGACCATTGGGACCATTGAAACCCTTGAAACCTTTGAAACCATTGAGACCATTGGAACCATTGAAACCATTGAGACCATTGGAACCTTTGAAACCATTGAGACCATTGGAACCTTTGAAACCATTGAAACCATTGAGACCATTGGAACCATTGAAACCATTGAGACCATTGGAACCTTTGAAACTATTGAGACCATTGAAACCATTGAGACCATTGAAACCATTGAGACCATTGGAACCTTTGCAACCATTGAGACCAATGGAACCTTTGAAACCATTGAAACCATTGAGACCATTAAAACCCTCGAGACCATTCGAACCAATGTCAGAAACCATTGAAAGCCTTGAAACCCTTGACATCCTGAGACCATTGAAACTATTGAAACGATTTACCTGCGAAATTCTTTTAAACAAAAACGCTTTGATAAAAATGTTCTACAAAAACGTAAATATTCGAAACCGGATGTGGCTAATTTGAAAGCCTCGAAACCGGAACACTTGTTTCGACCAATCAGGTAGGACATTGCGAGACGTGCTACCTGACCCACAATCACCGAAGATGTCAACAAACACGGCTATCTTTAAAAGGGGGAACGGGGAATGGGGGAATCGGGGAATCGGGGAATCGGGGAATGGGGGAATCGGGTAATGGGGGAAACTGACAATGAGATAAAGGGAAAATGCGATTCATTGAGATAAAAAACGCGATATTTATAAAGGATAGGAATAGCCTGAAAGCGGCTCTCAGAGGGGATAAAAAGCCGTTTGAATAAAGCTCAATCTGCTTGTAAACTAGAACTGAACTAGCGAACTTTGATTTGAGTAGACATTGATGGCGTTTACACACTGCAAAATAGTTCTTCGCACAGTTAAATTGTACCATGTGGCCTTTTGCAACACCATCAATAGGGTGGTTCCAAGCCTAGATTACATAGCCTTTAATACGACTTGTTTGCTTTCCCGTTCCATGGCTTATTCTTAATTAATGCTTTTTAGAACAAATTTGAATAACTTCACAAATAACCTCACGATTAACCCTCTGCTCTGTGTGGAGACGGAAGGAGCAAGCTCACAAAAAGAAAAGCGTTGGTATTAGTCATAGTATTATTTTGTTAGAAAACAACCCATTTAAAAGCAGCCGAATTAATAAGCTGAAAGGCTATTGTTTGTAAAAAAGTATTTAATAATAATAATGAAATATCACATTTTTTAGGGCGATTTCCCGATTCCCCGATTCTCCCATTCCCCGATTCCCCCATTCTCCGATTCCCCCATTCCCCGATTCCCCGATTCCCCCATTCCCCGATTCCCCGTTCCCCCTTTTAAAGATAGCCAACAAACACTAATAGTTCATAATCGTGATCTGTTCACTTATCCGACGATTTCCGAAGATGTGGACATTTAGACGGACGGGGACATTTTTCAGCTATAACATAGTGGTTAGCCGCGCATGCGCAGCGGCTACCCACAAAAAACGGCTTCATATTTAATGAAACTGGTATCGATAGAAAGCTTAGATAACACGGATTCCGAATATGTAATTTTTATCCTGGCCCAAATTCGTCGTCGAATGTTACAGCTCCTAAAACGCAGACGTCTGCCAGCCTAAGATTCGAAATCGCATATAATGATGTACATTAAATGTCCGTGAAATACGAGAAAAGTACGCACCCAAAAACGGCTTCATATTTAATGAAACTAGTATCGATAGAAAGCTTAGATAACACAGATTCCGAATATGTAATTTTTATCCTGGCCCAAATTCGTCGTCGAATGTTACAGCAGAAAACGCAGACGTCTGTCAGCCTGACATTCGAAATCCCATATGGTGATGTACGTTAAATGTCCGTTGAAATACGAGCAAAGTAAACTGAAAAACGGCTTCTATTTATGACTGGTCATTGTAGAAGCTTAGTACAGATTTGATATTGTATTTTTATCCTGCCCAAATTGGTCGTCGAATGTTACAGCTCCTAAAAGGCAGACGTCTGCCAGCCTAAGATTCGAAATATGCGTGAAATACGAGCGAAGTACGCACCCAAAAACGGGTTCACATTCAATGAAACCACAGGCAGCCTGGTCACTGCTGTTACGTCATGCTATATACGTAACAGCAGTGACCGGGCTGCCTGCGATCAAACTGGTATCGATCAGTAGAAAGCTTGCAATAATAAATATAAATAAAAATAAATAAGTAAATATAAAGCTTCGGTTAAATGTGTATCGTACGTAATACGGTGGCCCATAGGGGACATGCCATAAATATAAATATATGCCTTCAGAATTTTATATAATGCCTTCAGAATTTTATATGATACCTCAAGAATTTTAGATGAGGCCTTCAGAATTCTATATGATGCCTTCAGAATTTTAGATGATGCCTTCAGAATTCTGTATGATGCCTTCAAAATTCTATATGATGCCTTTGGAATTTTATACGATGCCTTGGGAGTTTTTCGTGATGCCGTCGGAATTTTATATAATATGCGGAATACGGAGTAAGGAGTGCGAATGTAGAGTATAGAGTAGAGCGAAGGATCAGAGTATTACAATATTTTTGTAAGTAGTGGCAGCGCTAGGGGGGTGTGTTGTTTGCCCCCCAGATCTTTTCATGTTACGTAAGTAGTGTAATACTCTTTTAACTTTTAAATACTTTTCTAGTCTTTCCCCCAAAACATTTCTTTGACCCCCAATTGCCCCCCACTCATTTTAACCAGGCGCCGCCACTGTATGTAAGAACAAACAAGGGACGTTGCGAAAAGTGCAACCCAGGTCCTCCGGCAGGAATCGAACTATAACTGAGGTGAGGTTAGGTATAGGGTTAGGTATGACGTTTGAGAGATTTTGAATTGACAAAATTCTGCTGATTTATTGGGACTAGGCCATGAATTTTGATGAAATTTGCATTAAAAAGTACAATTGACATTTTTTAGCTTTATGCCAAAATCTAAAATTCTACAACTTTATTCTAACAATGCTACACGCTTTTTAAAAAACATATCCGCAGTGCGAAAGCCTTCAAAGATGATGGATTGCTTTAACAGAAAAAAAAATTCAGATTGCATCAGTTAAACTCTTCCATCAACCAAATTGTTGTGAAATGTTCATGTAAATCTCATAACTCCAATCCCCCGATTGTTTAGTCCGTACTTCCGTAGTTCGTTTTTTTCTAACCATAAGAATTTTATTGTCTTGCGCATGCGCTCTGCCTCATGTTTTACACGATTACACGTGTTATTGTGCATAATATTGTTCATAGGGCAGTTTATATACTATAGCCCTAGAACTAGGACGTAACTTATTAGCTATATAAGTTACGTCCTAGTTCTATAGTCATATGGCATCGCTATCATTGGAGCACGCTACATACATGGTTCTAACAGTAGTTTTGTAGTAAATTGCCTACTTTACTATATTTAATTCATTTTATTTAACGCATATCATAAGTGTTTTACGGATTTTTTATTTACTGCGGCAAGGTTTTCATCAGCGAGCGTTCAGCGGTATGCAAGCGGTAGTTCAATTCTTGTTATATAGATGTTTTGTTGTTTATGTGGAACTGAAGTTTTGCATGAAGCAAATTATTGTCACGAATGTAGTTCAAGAATTAACAATCAATATAACGAAGATCCTCAAAACAATATCGAAAATGTAATTGAAGCTTATTTCAATAGAGTTTAC